AACAAACGTATAATTCAAAACGAACGTCTCACGTGCTCGACTCAACAATACTCTGTCCGCACTTCAATTACACATTCATTACCGTCACGTCTTGACCGTCTTATATATACAAGACTACCGCATATCTAGTAAACGCTAGAGCATTCAGGAAGGGACAGGATATTTCTAGAAGTCAATGACGTATTACTAGAGTCACGTGACTTCCGCTGTCGTAACAGATGCATGGAAAGATTCACTCATGGTTCTTTATTTTGTTAATATGGTCTAATTTAACTCAGTTTCTTTGACTGGCAGACAGAGGTTATATCACAGAGTTGTGTATCTTATAAGCCACATGAATTCTAAAAAAAAGAGCATATTTGAAATATTCGTAAAACTGAATAACATAAATAGATAAATAATGCAAAATATTTCACATTTGAAATTGAAGGAAAATGAGGCATTTCTGCTGGATGCTGGGTTAGTAAGAGGTAGGGTATATAAATACCCAACAGTAAACATCTTTAACTAACGAACTTTGGAATACTGTGAGTCAAATTAGAAGCAAACTATGATTTGCTTCAGAAACTAAAAAAAAATTCGTTTTACGTGTCAGTCTGGTTAAATAAAAATTTGATAAGATTATAATCGGTTGGAAAAAAGTATTAACAAATATTAAGTGAACAATCCGGGAAGTAATTACTAATAATTACTTATTAGTAATTATTAGTAGAACATTGAAGGATCTATGAAGGAATCAAAAACACGGGCTTGCAAACTTAATGTATAATTTTGTGCAATTTTCTGGATTTTAGCAGAGAAAAATATACATTCTTGTCGGAACACATGTAGTTTTGTATTGAATTATTGTGTATCCCCTACGTAACTTTAAACGGAAATTGCTTTGTTCATTGATTGCTTGTAACAAATATTCAAACCACTGCAACTGCGTGTTTGAGATCTTAATGACGTAATGTAGCACTGAGTTTTAGAGCCAAAAGAGTGACAGGTTTACAATTTCCCCACAAAAATTAATAGCATATTACAAGAAATATCAGAAATATGTACATAAATTTTACCGCTATTGTTTAAACAAAGGAATATTTTGGATTATAATTATAATGTGATAATTTCATGGTAGAGTAATAATAGTACGAACTTTTAAAACCGAATTTCCTGGTTTTCTGTTATTTACGATAACTTATGTTTAAATAAATGCGATTATTTACCTGCAAATTTCCGACGTTTCTTGTTTTTTATATTCTTAAATCTGTCTATGTAATATTTCGGAGCTTGTAGAGGGGCATATGGGTTCCCAGCATGCACTGCAAGATGAGCTAACATCAAAAATAGTGGCTACTTAAAGAAAAAATAAATAAATTAGCTTAAATGTTCCTTATCCTAGATGAATATTTCTTATCAAGAACATAAAAACAAAACAAAATATGGGCTTAAATTCAGAAATTAGTAGTATGGATCTCAAAAACATTTCTAAGAATCTTAATATCTAAAATAAACAGTTTACCATGTTTTGTTTAAAACATCAATTTGGATAGATGAACGTGTATTTTCCTGTAGGTAAAACTGACTAATAGATTGTAACTTTTCTACGAAAAGATATACTTATTTCTAAACTCGGTAGGGGGACATGACATTTGATAACAAAAATACATATGTGTATATATACACCTGGAAAAAAGTTAAGCACCCCC